GAGAGAGAGAGAGAGAGAGAGAGGGAGAGAGAGAGAGAGAGAGAGATGAGAGAGAGGGAGAGAGAGAGACGGAGGGAGAGAGAGAGAGAGAGAGAGAAGAGAGGAGAGAGAGGGAGAGAGAGAGAGGAGAGAGAGAGAGAGAGAGAGGAGAGAGAGAGAGAGAGAGGGAGAGAGAGCAGACAAAGGAGAGCTCCCGCCGCAGCGGACACAGACACTCCGTGTCGGCTTACTAAGCGTCATGTGCCCGATGACTGCTGATTGTCTGGGGGTATGGTACGGTATACGCCGCCGCTATATGGTCCACTGGACCGGGTGGCGGTGCTCACAGATGCCCTTGCATTACAGCTGCGTCCTCTGAAGACAGTGTTCAAGCAGACACTAGGCCTTATGTATGTATTGAAATAAACACACATACACACTCGCGGTTGGTCCCACACCGAAACATAATACGCTGTCTCGCAGCCCGCCAACGCAATACGCTATGGCGCGTGTATGGCCACTTTCACACTGCACGATGAACTAAGCATAGAGGTATACACTTGGCCGGCGTTTACGCAGGGTCGTCTGAGTCTGTAAACAGCCACTATCGTCCACTGCTGATCGTTACGTGGTAGCCCACCGGCCGCCCGCCAAACCGGCCAGCGGCTCCACTGGAGCTGCTCTGCTGGTACTGGCTGTAGCCGCCCGCTTGGGGCACGTAGCCGCCACCGAAATGGCTCAGGCCATTACCAAGCCCATTACCGAACTGGCCGACACTGCCGTCGCCGAAGTGGATTGGACCTCCTCCGAGAGAACCGACTCCTCCTGCAAGAGGACTGATGCCTCCTCCAAGAAGACCAACTCCTCCTCCGAGAGGACTGATGCCTCCTGCGAGAGAACCGACTCCTGCTCCCAGATTACCGACGCCTCCTCCGAGAGGATTGATGCCTCCTACGAGCTGACCGACGCCTCCTCCGAGAGGATTGATGCCTCCTGCCAGTTGACCGACGCCTCCTCCGAGAGGATTGATGCCTCCTGCGAATTGACCGACGCCTCCTCCGAGAGGATTGATGCCTCCTGCGAATTGACCGACGCCTCCTCCGAGAGGACTGATGCCTCCTCCGAGATTGCCCAAGCCGCTTCCAAGCAGGCTACCGCCAAGGTTAAGACCGCTCCCGAAGTTGTTAAATCCACCTCCAAACTGCTGAAATCCCGTTCCGAGCTGACCAAAGCCGCCGCCCAAGTTGCCTCCAAGCTGTTTGGATGAGGAGCTGGTAGAGGAGTGGCTGACGCCGTTGATGCCGCGGGTGTTACCGGCTTGCGCTTTGTTGAAGCTAGAGGAGCCGTGAGAGGCTGTGCCCTGCAACGCGGAGAGCATGGTTAGTCACGGCGATCCCTTCCACACAGGCACTGGAGTGCACAGTTCCAACACGCTTTACATTTGCAAAGCATTGCCACTTAGTCTGCTTCAGTTTCGTCCCCACAGCAGGACGTCCAGGGATTTTTGGACTCAAAAGATGTAGCATCCGCCAACAGATCCGGTGTTACCCAGTGTAGCGCTTAGCCCCGCTGGGTCCGGCGAGAGCTCCAGGCCGGGGGCCTCACCCCTGCGCGAGACGAGGTGGTGGTGACGCGGCTGACACCCTGCGGCCCGTGGCTCTGCCCCTCCGTCACGGTGCCCTCGGCCAGGCCGGAGCTGGTGCCGATCCTGCCAAGCGGCAGCGCCGCCGCAGACGACAGCAGACACAGCAGTGGGATGGCGCTCTTCATGGCGGAAGAAATTGGACTGGAGGACCGAGAACGTTGCGCATTGTTAAGCAGCGTTTTGGTCGTTACAAAGTAGCGAAAAGAGTGTTCAACAGGATGGTCAATGACGCCCTGAGCGATTGTAAACGATCTTCAATTAAGCACTTAAACACCGACAGGATGGCCCTAAAAAAATGACTGATGTCCAGCGGCTCATACTCTGGTGTGCTTTAACGGATCGTTAAACAGGCATTTTGAGATGGCGAGATGCTGAGATGGATCTGACACTGATGCATGGTTTTAACTGACGTTGTTGATCGGCGTACATTGATTTGTCATATTTCGCATGGGCCCCAACTGCGCCACGTAGAATATGTCCATTTGTAAGCAACTTGAGAAATATGGCATGAGCAAAACAATGGTATAACTAGAAGGAGCGTGCCATCACTACAATAGAAAATTCGTAAGATGCCCATACCATTTTACGTTGTCAATCACCCATTGCAGCCAGGACTCACCTGAGCGTTCGGCTGGAGGCTGGAGATTGCTGGTCTTGAGTTCCAGCGGCGACGTTCTTATACTCAACACGAGAGCACTGGGCCAGTAGCGGGTCATTTTGACCACACTGTGACCCATTGGCCCCTTTCAAGGGCCCGACTAAGGCCACCAAGCAGGCGCTGCGTTTAACGCGCCGGCTGGGAAACCCGCGCAGCGTTGATCTCCGGGTCACCCGCTAGGTGATGCCCAAGATTAGAGCTTACATGAAGCTGGCCGTCGGCTTTTCTCACCCTTCAGAGCCTGAGCGTAAAGCTGTGTCACTGTATGTGCTTGTGTGAGGGTTTAATGGAACTTAGATGAATGGATTTGCATTTTGGAGCTTCCACACATTTGCTTCTGTACTCACGTGATACGAGATCAAGATTACGAAAATTACAAATACGAGATCAGGATTACGAATAAGGTTACAAATCGAGATCAAGATCGTTGTAAAGGTCGCGTTGCTCTCGACCGCTGACATCTGCAAGTCCGCGAGCAGCAAACTCCATTTCCTGGGTGCGCGAAGTATAAACGTGAGCATGAACTTGCCAACTTATGCCGTAGATGGATTGTTTGTGCCTACTTTCTATCGCCCTACGGGCAATAATTTTATCTTGCCGTACAAGGGTGCTTCAGAGTCCCCCCCCCCCAAGTAAGATATTCGAATCAAGTAAGCTATGGCCGCGCAGTACACCTCATTGCAAAGCTCCAAAGCTTTAAGATGTTTGGCAAAAAACTCAAGTCGAATGGCTTTTGAAAGATTAAAATTGTGTTACAAAATGTGTTACATATCGTGCTATGAGATTTTGTTACAATATGTTATAAAATTGTGTTGCCATTGCTAAAGTTGCATTTAGGTTGACCTGACCATAAAGAACAGCTAGAACTAAAGCAATGCACGTTGGAGTCATAACTTTCCGAAAGGCCACCTAGAAAAAATTATGTGGTGTATTTTTTGCGAGAAACAGGTGCTATACGTCACTTGACAGTAACATGTCATCAGCGTACTTTTGGCCAAGTGGTCATAGATCATGAACCGTCGGGTAAAGATTTGCATAAAAACACGGATGATGTCAACTCAGCAAGTTGACATGACATGACACCATCATCATGGCAGCTGATGTCAACTCACTGTACGAATTTTTAGCGCTGGGCTCAAAACCGTTAAAAAATGCTTTCCAGAACATCTTAGGGGAACTCTGGATGCTCTTCGGAGGACAAAAGTTAAGCTATATGCAAATCGTTAATTACATGTGCTTGCATGGCAGCTCCACATTCATGTCTGTTTCCACGTGGTAATTATGAACGCGAAAGTGTTGGAAATGAAAAACACTGGTATGAGCAGCGCTATCAAGTTTGGTTTTTGTCTTAACAAGAATTTTATGGCATGCATGGACCCAACCTGCTGTAAGTTCCGGCAGTTTTAGTGGGAAATACATGCTGTTCATATCGCTGCGTTGCCTAATTTGTATTTAGGATCACAGGACGGGGTTTTCCTACGCCCCCCATGATCAGTAGCAGTTAGATGATAAGTAGCAAAGTCATACTTCTAATCTGAGTATTCC